ATACGGCATCACAATGGGCCAATAGGCCTAAGTGGATCCACTAGGGATCACCGGTATAACCTAACCTAACCTAACCTACTTTATTATTTCAAAAAAATTTATAATTAAATCACTTTGATCATTTTTTGCTTTATACTTTTTCTAATATTGGGCGCAAATTAGTTTTACTACTTTTTTACAATCAATTGCGCGGTAATTTTTTTTTAAATATAGCGCAGTGCATTCAAATTTTTTGTCAAGAAATCAGAACAGAGAACCAAAATTATGCTCTCGGTTGCACTCATTGCCCATAAAATTTTTCTTAAGAGTAACTTAAGGTTCTTATTCGGAGCAAGTTAAGGTCCGTATTCGGAGCGAATAAGGACCTAAACTTGCTCAATTTGGAAATAATCGTACGTTTTGAGATGGTATTAGTGCAATTTCTAAGAGTGTGTTTGTTATTTTCTGTTGTGCTCATTTAAGTTTCCGTTCTATATAAAATCTTCTTTGATGTCGTGATTGCATCTTTTTCAAAAAATTTTGCTTTGCACTCTCTTGCTCTCTTGCAATTGTGATTCGTTTTTCCATTTGTGATTCGGTTGTCTTTACTTACAAATAAAGCGTTTTGCACTCCCTGTTTCGGAATTTGATGACGAGCTTCGTATTCTTCGATCAGTTTTACTTTGAGTTGTTCTGGCTTAGATAACTTTACTTGCGACTCTACTGCAATTCTGAAATTTTTGAATTTGTTTGGAATGCTAACAGCAATAAAATTGTTAAAACCTCGTCAGTAATTTTAAGTTCAATTTCGTTAAGTCGCTTTGACTGATAAATTGCGTGCAAATTATCGCACACTTGTTTTGATGTGTTATAGTGCTTAATGTGCTGCAGGTTCGGTTGGAGATATCGACAATATGAGGTCTGATCTCGTTTTGGAATCGTTTTCTTCCCATTCTAATACTTTTTCTTGTGGTGTGCTTTGTAACGATACTTTTTGGGGAGCGTGGAAATATAAAATTTTGCTGGGGTATCCTCAGCCATTGTCCAGGGTTGTACAATAAAATTTATATTTGCTGGATCAGAGTTTTACATCAAAGTCGTGGTTTTATAAGATTATAAAAGTTTTATTTACTTATACTTCAAAATATATAAAAAAATACATATACTTATAACTCAAAATCATTTTTACCTAAAATCAAAGAAAATTGTTATTTAAGCGCGTAGTTTTATTGTAATGGTGAGCTAATGTCACAAGCACACACGAATTGCACACGAATCTCTCAAACTGACGGAAATTGTGTGGAAAAAAATTAATCAATTGATTGAATAAACCAGGTCAGTAAATGATGAAATGGCTGAATGAGCTAGGTTGATAAATAATAAATTGCCTTGATGAGCCAGGCGAATAAAGACAACATTGGCTGAATGAGCCTGGTGAATAAATAATATATATTGGCTGAATGAGCAAGGTTTGGTATAATTTACTAGTAAGCAACGAACTTGTCACTTCTAAAGTCAAATCACAAAAACCTGATCGTATTAAATGCGCGCTTTTTATATCGAATATACCGGAGCTTATTGGTGTAGCGTACCGGTAGATTTGCCTGTGATATTTTTGCTGTAAGTTTTTGTGCTATTTGTGTTATTTTTTTGTGCTTTTTGTGTTTTGTATTTTTTCCGTGTGCTTTGGGTTGTGTTTAACAAAAGCTTTAATGCTTTGACGTTTCTTGTGTTGTTTATAAATGTGTTTTTTAAATACTGTTATCGTTTTAATATTTATTAATTATTGTAATAAAAGAGATATTATTAAATTAAAAATATAAGTACAATTAATAAATAAATACGGTAAGTGTGTTATTTAATTATTTTTACTACATAATTCTATACAATAAATTTCGATGTAATTGCAGATCACTTGGATGAACTGAAGATGCATGCTGCAATCTTTTTCTTGCGGTGGTAGATTTTAAGTAAATATTTTAAAATGATTATATTAAATATAATACACAAGAATATATATATAAATAATTTTTATTTCAGGTATCTTCAAAATTTAGATTTAATAAGTGATTATTAATATTTTGTGTTTAAATGTAAAAAAAAGTGATGTGAATTTATAAATATAACCTGTGTTGTGATGTCTTTTAATTAGCATTTTCCACATATCGAAGTGCACCTTATTCAAATGCTTAACGCTTAAAGTAGCATAACTCATTTTTAATGTATTTTATATATATTTATTATTTTTACGTTTATTTCGCTTAGTGGAAGCGTGCTGAGCCTATAGAAATTTCTTTCACTTTGTATAAGATTTGGCATAACAACCAGGCAGTATGGCATCACTGATCTAGTGTTTTTGACGGCAACATTTTGAGGTTCGTCAAGCAATGACTTTTGGCTTTATTTTGCTTTTTCTTCTTCTTCTTCTACTTCTGGCATTGGTGATGTGTGCATCTTTTTTATTATAGCTTTGCAAATTCAAACAGATTGTTATATTTCAAAATTGTGGTTTAATAAAGACATTGTATTTTGCGTGTCTGAAACTCATCGTATTTTCCTTTTTCATACATTTTTTGGTGCCGAAACCCGGGAGTTTCGGTTGTTTTATAAAAAACTTTTTTTTGCGTGTTACAAAAGTTGGCGTCATACAATACACAAAATGATTGCCTTGAATAAACGTACGGCTACGTGGTTAACATTAAGGTAAGTGGATGCAAAAATAATGTCAGAGAATCATAATGAGGATGGCTTTGGCATGCAGCTGGGTCAAGCAACATTAGAGGCGCATTTTGATGAATTGCAAACTACACATGGCGGCAAAAGAAGGAGGCGAATTAGAGTATCACATTAAGCTGTGGGACGAGGTTGTGCATCAATGACTACACCATCCAATGCATACATTCGCTACTATTGGCAATCGCGTTATACTCTTGGCAACAGCACAAGTACACATATACTACACTACAGATAAAATAAAAATAGGATGGGTAGTTTCCCACATTACACATCAAAAGACAACTAAATATTTTAAGTGCTTTGATTATGGACACATAGCTAGAAAATGTAAAAGTGAAACAGATCGCTCGAAACAATATAGGAAATGTGGGATGAATGGCTATTTTATTAAAGACTGTAAAAACGAGCCATTGTACATGCTCTGCAAAGACAGAAACTCAAATCAGTGCAAACATGTTGTAGGCAGCAAGAATTGTCTTAGGAGAGGAGAGCAGTGATAGAATGCATGAACATAGTGCAAATTATTTTTAATCACTGCGAAGCCGCACAGGATCTTCTGGAACAAATGGTAAAGGAGAAAAAGACAGACAATATTTTAATTAGTGTACCGTACAAAAACAAAGATGATGGATCATGGGCAAGCGGTAAAACGAAGAAAGCTGCAATTTGGAAATGTGGGAAGTAGACAAGAGATACAGAAAGAGAACACAGGCCTCGTAAGGGCAAAAATTAATTGCATAATTTTTTATAGTTGTTATACACCACCCAGTTGGTCTTTGGAAGAATTCCAAAATATGCTACACGAGCTTGTAACTGATGTACATGGAAAGACTCCTATGGTCATAGCTAGACTTTAATGTATGGGCAATAGAGTGGGGAAGTAAGTATAGGTAATAACGCTAGAGGCCAAAACACCTACTGCAAAGCGGACAGGGGCACAATTATTGATATCGCATTGGTCAGCAAATCCATAGCTCGGTACGTGACATGGTGTGTCAGTGAGAATTTCACATTTAGTGATCACTAATCCATACTGTTTAATGTAAAATCTTTAAAGCGCAGACAGCAACCGAAACTAATGGGCCCAATATGGAACAGCTAGCGGGTGGATAAACCACATTTGAGGATACTATAATTCAGCAACGTATAGTCCTTTCTTCGGCTCAAGATTCAAGCAATGAACTATTACGTATTATAAATATCGCATGTGACGCAGCAATGCCAAAAAGGTCTGTTCACAACAATTTGGATTTCGAAAGGCTAGATCAACCATAGATGCTGTTAAACTGGTAGTTGATAGGATGGTAGTTGATGCGACTGAGGGAAAATTGTGGCGCTGGTGTGATAGGGAATACTGTGAAGTAGTAACCCTAGATGTTAAAAATGCATTTAACTCTGCTAATTGGTCTCACATTCTTGAACGATTAAGGGAACTATCGGCACCTATGTGTTGGTATCTATTTTAATCTTTAAATAATTAATAACACCTTCAGTTTATTTTAGTATATGAGTACTTCTCATACTCCTTGATTTTTAATATCATTTGTCTTCTACAAATTTTGGTTTGTATCAGACTCCATTCTACACCAGACTAACTTCTAAAACTTAAGATTTATCATTAAAG